ATTTACTCAGAAAATAACTGTTCTCAGAATTTGCTTCACCGTTGCTCTTTTTTCTTATCTTTTTTTTTAATGCAACCAAAATAAATAAATGTCCGTAGTGAGTGGAAAATATTCAGGTATTAAATGTTCGACATACCTTTCTTTAGTTCATAAGGGGATTCTTTACAAAGATCTACCTGCGTTTGGCCTCTGACTTTCTGGCTCTCCCTTACCAAAGCCTCAGCTCTATTTAACACAGTCTGGTTTAATCCATTGAAATGTGCCGTGGAGCCCGTGGTTACCGAGCCGTGGTTACTGTGAAGGTGTCCAAAACTGCCACCATAGTTCGTGTAGCCAGGGTAGAAAGCGGAGGTGTAGTACAGAGGCCTGGATAGGACTGTGCTGTTGGGGAGCGGGCACTGAGGGGATGATCGTGATGGAGAAGCGCTAGTGCCTATTACAGTGCTCTGACCCAAACCAGGGCAAGACTGTGACACCTCGCCGCTGCCCTTACACCTGTCTGAGGACGTGGCGATTTCCGCAAGGGACCAGAGTTTGGGTTTAGGAGCAGAGGGGGGCGAGTGGATAACAGAGGTCACGTTGCTGGTGACCGTACTCGATGCATGGCTCAAATCTGACGGCTTGTCTTGTTGCGCAAGCTGGTTCCCCCGGGGCATCGCTGAAGGAGACGACGTGGTTGGTTTCGCAGAATCCGGCAACAACTCTGTAGTCCGCTCCTCCTGGTCTTTTAACTCCGTGTCACTCAGAAGGTGATCCGTGTCTTTGCTATGGTTTTCTTCTTTAAATCTGTCACAGCCTATGTCCCCTGGGTTAAGAAGTTTGTGATCTAAAGCACACACACATACACACACACACACACACACACACACACACACAAGGAGACCACAGTTACTTCCAAATAAGCATTAAAATGTTCGTAAAACTCTAGCATGTGTTTCAGATGATTATCAAGCAATTAAACACAGATGCAAACTGAAAGTGGGTGTGCAAAAAAATATTTGGGTACCTTTGCACGTTTCTCTTGCAAATTATAATTGTGCTATAAAATGTTCTCATAAACATGTAAAAGCCTAAAAAGGAAAATGAACTCCCCCCCATAATTATGACTTATGAGTTTATTAAAGTCTGAGCATTCACTACACCGATTAAATGTATTTCAAGTATCAAAATAGCTTTTGCGATGATAAGAAGCGTTTGTACAACTGTAGCCGAATACCAGCTCAATTCACCGGCTGCAGCCTTATTATGCAGTTAAAGATAAATTGACTGCTAAATACTTTGCGTCACCAGCAATTTCAGCCACTGAGAAGTCAAACGAGGGGAGTTCAAGGTGATTATTATTTAAAGCAATTGTCCCATTATAAATAATATACAACCATTAACCAGCAATCAATTTTGCACCCTGAGTGGAAAGACTGCGATGAAAAATTGATGATTTTTTTTTTGCCCCCTTTTTTTCTGCACCACCGACCTGCTTCCGTGTCTGTGGAGTCTCCCTTATCTGTGGGCTTGTTTGGCTCGTCGTCGTCGTTTTTCTCCAGGTCGATATTTTCGTCCTCCTCCTCGTCCTCGCTCCGGTTCCGAGGAGTCCAGGTCATTTTGTTCTCCTTCTTTAGCCTCCTCCTGGCGTTGGCGAACCAGGTTGACACCTGGGTGAGGGTCATTTTGGTGATGATAGCCAGCATTATCTTTTCGCCCTTGGTAGGATAGGGATTTTTGCGGTGCTCGTTGAGCCAGGCCTTCAGGGTGGCGGTGGCGTCCCGGGTTGCATTTTTACGGTATGCTGGATCACCGTAAGGGTAGGTGCCCAAGGGTGCTGCGTAAGGATGGTATCCTATTGAGCCCGCCATGCCCGTAGTGTGGTCATAGGGAGAACTCTGTAATAAAAAACGAGAAAGTGTGCAAAAGTTCTGTTATTCTTTAAACTGCTGCAAAATACTTAGAAGGACTTGCGGCACACAAACGTAAACACACGTGCACGACTCCACACATAAACACGCGTACGAATGGTCACGCAAGCACATACTCGTAATCGTGCAAGGGTGCACTGGCTTTAATCCAGCGGTTCGAGTATGGAGTCAATGTTTATGGAATGGTTTTGAACTTAATTGGATATTTGAAATGGGATTCGTGCTTCGGTGTTATTTATTTACTTATTTTTATTCTATTTTAATTTTTGTTTTCTTCACGTTAACGCGATGTGATTATTGCTGTTGCTACTGAAATAGAACATTTTCCAAATAGAATAACATAAAAACATTATTCTTTTTCCTTGCCTGTTAAACAGCGATCAATCTTTAAGCAGTAGCAAATGGGCCTATAAAACAAATATGAATTACTTACGTGGTAAGAGATCGCTCACAGGGAATAGGAGACAATTAAATAAAATTGTTTTCAGCCTTTTTAGTTTTACTATTTAAGTTTTATATTTGGACCAACTAATGGACTTACAAGAAAGAAACGCAGCGATGTAAGCTGCCGTCCGTTTCGTTCGGTCAGGAGCTTAGAAGCTTCGGCAAGACATTGTCTAATCTATTAAAAACGACTATTAATTTCAAAGCCACAACAGTACACGACCTTTTTTAGATTAGTTACATTTACTCAGGAGTATCTTTTCTGGACATGAAAATCTCTACTTTTCTATCCACGTACTTTTCTGTGACGCACATTTCTTCTCAATGGCTTGATTCCGACTGCGCAACACACACCTAAGGGTTCTATAACGAGTTAATTCCCCTCGCTTTTGCTACCTATTAGACTGAATAATCACCTTTAGTGTACTCACCACATATGAGGTGAACGTGGCAGCTGCCGCCGCGTCTGCATTATATGGCAAGTGGGAGTTGTAGCCTGGCGAGGCGCTGGTGAACGCGGTAGATCCAGCATATGGCGCAAACGCAGATCCCGAAGAGGATCTCCCAAGTTCCTCGGTTCTGGGTCCCGATATAACACTGGTGCTGTACGCGGGGCACGAATACAGGGCTAATGAAGCGGACGGCTGGTACAAGTAGCCCTGAGGATATGCCATGCTGGAGTCTGGAGAGTATAAGCCACTTAACTTGTGCACTTTCCCCCCTTTATTTTCTCATGCGCTGATGTCGGAGCGCATAGAGCTGTATCTGCAGCCCGCTGTCTCCCCCCTTCTAAATGGCAATTGTCAAGGCAAAAAGTAATTTTTTAGATGAAAATAAGCTTGGATATTGGGTGGATTTTTTGGTCGCTGCCAGTCAGCCAGTCAGCCACTGTCCGCCGGAGGTTTGGTCTTGTTTTGTTTTCTGCTGCTCCCTTATCGGAGTTGAATCCTCGCTCTCATGCCCATGCAGAAGTTTTTATTATTATTTTTTTCTTTGCCAGTCGGACGGGGGCTTTGCTTGGGAAAATGTCCTGCCAAGATGCTAAGTTGGAAATTGAGGATCCTGACGCCTACTACGCTGCACTCTACGCTCCTCCTCTCGGGGTGTAGTCACAGAAGGAAAAGGCAAGCTTATGCTGGGTAACCACAACTCTGCCCAAACCCATGGTCTCTCTCTCTCTCTCTCTCTCCCTCTCTCTCTTCTCTCTAACACCCCCTCCTTTCCGTTGCGTTAACTAACAACCCTTCTCATTCTCTATTTCTCTATTTTTTCTTCTTTAACAAGGCTTGTTGCTGTAAGTGCGCCTTGCAGCCCCCCCTTTGGATGGCGACACCATGCGAGTCTGTCAACTCCCAACTTTCTTCTTTTTCTTCCAAATAGGAAGCCGTCACTTTCACACTTGATCAATAACAAGTCGGCTGTTGTATGCCAGGATATGGGCTCGCAAGATACCGGCAGGAATTAAAAAAGACGGTCCACCGCAGTGCTCTCTTTTTTGTTATTCTTTCTTTGTGCTTAAAAACGTCCTCATTTCACATATTTGCGTTAAATCAACAGACTGACGCCACGCGATCTCCGTGCGCCTTGCATTAAAATCGGCAGTTGGGGTTTCAAATGGATTACTACAGTTGTGCAAGTCGACTTTCTAACGCACGACGATTGTTGCATTGGTAAGACAGTATAGCCTGTGACAAAAGTAAAAGTAAGATGGCGCAAATTGTCCTCGAGCGACAACTGTGTGAGAATAGTTTTGTAGGTGAGAATTATTATTATTTTTTATCATGTCGACGGTTTTATGTTTTAATTGTGAACGCATGGTCGTCCACTCCGTGATCACGGCTATTTGCTTATTTTATTGTATTTTTTTGCAAATTATCCTGAAATGAACCAGTCGGATAAGCTACACTGCCAGAAACTCATGAACCTTCAAACCAGGGCAGAACAGTGCCAAGTGCACCGAATCTCACCGGACAAACTCATTTGATCCCTGTAGATGCATTTCTGTTCCTGAAAACAGATAAACGGTGTTAAATGTACCGCTTTTATCGTTAATTAGCTAAATATATTTAAATACATTTAATAAAGATAAGTCCAGGCATCATTATTAAACATAATAAATAACGGTCATTATTATTATTATAATTATTATTGGGACATAAATGTCGTTCTTTCACAAGTATGGAATACTAACTTGGATTCAAAATATGAGCTGAATTTTATTATTTTGTTTAGTATGTTTCAAACATCTAAAAGCCCATTCTCATTCTGGTGACTTTCCAGTTCAAGTCTCAGATAAGCCGAAAGGGATCGCTGTAGGCGCTGCTAAAGAGTGTGTGTGCACATATTGTCACGTGTTTCTTACGTTCCGAAAACCTCTAGAGAGCAAAGAATGATGACGGTGGTACAGTGGGAGAAGACTCAGACTTACGAGGGAGAGAAAGAGGGGAAAAAGAGAAAGATGGATGCACAAAGCGATCCTACAGTATAGCCTAATCAGATGACAGTGATACCATGAGCCCTAGTTTCACAGCGCCCTGTAGTGATTAGACACTCAAGTAATTATTGAAACTTTTCTCATAATAACAGATGGTACTAATATACATATATATATGTATTCGTTTTTTAATTTACGTTAAAGTTAAAATAAAGCAGCAGTGTTAAACAGCCTCCTTATTAGAGACGTAAATGTATTTAATAGTGGAGTGATTGTGTGCCACGAGCTATAAAATTCACATAACTGGAATATTGTGCCTTGTGGGTTGTTTCATCCCGAAATATTTACTTATCTATTTATTTCATAATATATAGGGGGGGAAAAAGTTTTGAGGGCCTAGGATGAAGGGTCTGTGTCATGTGTCCTCCTTAATGCGTTCTGGTTCAGAGTTGCTCTCTGAAGTAGGAGGAGGACCCATAATTTGAGATCACGGAGCCTATAATAGGAGTAGGGTTATGGCAACTGCTACCGCCTCTCAGCACTGCTCCGATAAAGGAGGAGGTATAGGTGAGTACAGTTTTGTTCATTTGTGTGTGTTTTTTAATGCGAAAAGGTATTTGAACTACGCAAATGTTCGCAATATTCTGGGTTTAATCTTCATTTATATTTTAATTATTCTGATATTATCTGACTGTGTCTCTTCCTATTCGCTATCACTTCTTCTTCCTCTTTCCCCCCTGAGTGAACTGCCTCCGTTTTGACGCATGGAAACGTTTTTAAGTGGCAAAGAAGAATTGAATGAAAGATGATGCATGCCACTTAAAATGCCTGAGGGAGCAAGCGTAATCTAAATTGGATATAGAAGCTATTATTACACAACATTATGCGTTGTGGCGGACTAATTGCGTGGCTGGGTGCGTTAAACAGTCAGTTAATGTCGAGTGGCAGACAGGTTTCTGGAGCGCACAAGGTCAGCTGTACTGCTCCCAAGCCTTTAGTGGTATACAGAAAAATGCTTGAAGTATTCATGGGATTTTTAACCATTCTAAATCTGTGTCCTAAACCGATTAGTTGACACCAATTTTTCTTTGATGTATTAGCTGAGGGCTTTTGCCACTTGGAAGCCAATTGAAATTCAAAACAGTTTTCGCTCCAAATGCTGTGGGGAGATCTGCTGCAAATAATGGATGTAATTTATTTTTGACCTTGCTTTTTTTTTTTTCTTTTTTTTTTTTTCAAAAGGGAGGGTTGTTAAATGATTAAACATATGTGCACTAGCTCTCGACTAAACAACTAGCATTTGATTGGCTATTATTAGTTTTGCATTATAGAGCTGTAAATTTCCATATTTCTTAAAGTGTTATATAAGTGATAAACATGACTAAAATTGTTATTGCTTTTTTTAATGCCCAATTCACTCTTAAAAAGTTGCTGTTCTTGGTGTTATTTTTCCTAAATGAATTAAAAAAATAATAATTGACTCTTTGTTTTTGTTTTTGAATCCCAGATCCAAGTTGATGAAGTCACCAAGCAGTCAGTGAAATGCACCCTAACCTTCAAACACACAAGCACACTTGCAAATACACCTTAAGTTAAATAACCTTTTTCACATTTTGAAACGATAATTAAAAAACACAGGTGGATATATACTCAAAATACTGTAATAATTTATCAGTTTTTTAACTCTCTTATAGTTTTTAAATATGCTGCATTGCTGCTATTCCCGGGTTTTTTATTCGAGATAGAATCCCTTAATGTTTTACTTAGTATCACCACTTTTCCTCACACAAACTGATGCCCATGATTCGATGGGTTGATTTGACTTTAATAATCATACAATTTACATGAAGCACAATAATATGGCTTTCAGGGGAGAGAATCTATTTTTTGATCTCCTTTCTGTTCTTGTGATCTCTTTTTCTTTTATTGACCTGAATGAAGATGTATGGAGTGAGAGTGTGTGTGTGTCTTCGGTTTCCTCCTGATGGGGTATATCAGCTCCCCCCACTTCTCCCTACTCCCCACGATCCCCGCAAGGCTGAATGGCAGGCCTCTGGATTGGCTAAGTGATGAAATGATGACCCTATTATGGGAAGCGATTCCAAAATGAGAGATATCAGACGAAGATTACACCCCTCTCTCACTGCCACGCCATCCTCCTGCAATACACTGCCAGCTGCGCAGATGATGATTGATTCGCTTGAGATGGATCACAGGAAGCACCCATTGATTTTTCTGTGTTTTATCAAAAATATTTATTTACAGTTGTATCCATAGGGTGTATCCAGACTCAACCCATACTTCGTTCTCCAAATGGGGGTTGGTATAAAAGAGATAATTCCCCCTGTTCCATGACAAGACGAATGACCTGAAGTATTACTTCAGAAATGAGTCAATAGGCTCAGTGAGTAAATGAATATTGATTGGATATAATGAAGCCTGAGTGTGAATATGAGCCCTGTTGCAGACTTCACTGCAGTGATGCTGAACCTCTCCAACTGAATATTTTGCAGACCTGCATGCACAGCTGGGACTAAATACACCTCATTCAGATGGTGAATCAACACACTCAACATTCAACTTTTCCTGTGTATTTTGATTCATGATCTGAGAGTGTCCATACTTGACTCGCTTCTTATCAGATCTATGGCTAAATAGCATGTTTATGGTGAAGGTACTATAGGTGCCATATGGCAATAATCCAAGACTCATGTTACTTAAAAGCTCTGGAGACATGTAGGAGGCATTTCTGTGTCACCTTTACAAAGGTAAACTGATACGACATACAAATCAAATGACAACTAGAATGCTAAAACCACAGTGTGGGAGCTGTGCCCTAGATATTTGCACTGACTTAATCCAATTGAAATAGTATGAGTGAGTTGCAGGGGCTCCCAGGTCTGTTGCTTGCTTATGTATGTGATGCATAATAGAAGTTGACGAGGTTGGTGATAGATCACAGCCCAGGTAATGTAAACACATTAATCCCTCAGGGTTCATGTGCATGTTCTTTCTCTCCTTTTCTCTTATATCAGTTCCTCTCTCTCTATCTGTCTTTCTCTTTCTCTCTCTTCAAGCCCCCATCCTCCCCTCTCCACGTTCATCATCTTCCCTAAACGCGTTAGTGGAGCACAAACCAGAAGCAGCCTTAATCTGTCAACATGCCCTTTAATTGGAGGGAGAAAACAACACGTGCTTCTGGTTATGCCATTCCTAAGTGCACATGCCAAAGAAACACAGAGTTCATGGAAGAAGTGATCCCGGGAGAGCAGGGCATAATTAAAAGTATCTTTTAATAGGCTTGTAATGCTGAGCCAGACTCTTGTTGCTTTAAGTAGAGGGCGAACTCTGTGGCTGGAGACGGACATGCAAGGGGCTTCTGCTGAGGGAGCCTGTAAACGATACATTGCCTCGTCGTCATCAGACATGCAGTCTCTGCCTCAGTCACCACACTCGAGATGACAGCCACTTTCCACCCCTGCCGCGGACACCTTGGCTTACCCGTTGCCGTGTTCTTTTGTTCTCAGAATGAGAGATTCTCCTCCACGACATCACCTCTCCTCATCTCCTTCCCAGCCACTTTGGCAAGTTGTGTTCTACCTCCTACTCACAGCACCAGCGGGGAGTGAGAACTGGGACTAAGAGGTTGATTTGGGGCCTGCTACACTGTAATCAAATGAGACTGCTTAGGGGAGAGGAGAAGGAGGAGGTGGAGTATTATGTTCTGTCATGCATTCCACTGCAGCATTGTTGCTTTTTTGTTTTTGTCAGGGCAGGCTTTGATGCTGTATCCTCTTACCTTTGTAGTCCCGGTAGCCATGTTTCATAAACACGGAATGGGAAACATCCTCAGCATTAGAAATTTAGATTGTTGCTTTCCTCCTGCCACTCTGCATTCCGCACGTGCCCGGTCGCATTCTCCATCTCCCAATGCTGAGGTATTAAGTTTCCTCTCCCATGCCTCTGATACATTTAAACATCTTACAATCAGTCCCTTTTATTCGGTGTGTCATGTATAATCTGCGGAAACAACAATGCCAACATGGCTCTATGTTGCTCTCGCTCTCTTGGTACTTAAGAAGTCTGCTGTCACTGTTTTGTTTCAGGACAATTGCACTTGCAAAATGCTTACTTGCTTTAAATTGAGAAGTTGCTAGGTATTCAATTTAGAACTTGTCTTCATTATTAAGAATGTAATATTAATGTCAAGCTATCTTTCTTTGTATTTTCACAAAGGGAATAGGCAGTGCATGGTTGTCTTTGTAGTTAACCGAAAGTCTCAGTGGGATAACAGTGTATTATAATCCTTAATCTATCTTAACTCATTAAAATGCAGTGTTCAGTTCTGCTGGCCAAATTTTATTGTCTCGTTGCATTTTTAGTGATATGAGAGAAATTTCATGCGTAATTGAATATTTAAATGTCAGACACTGACGAGAATCATTGCAAAGTCCTGAAATTACTGCCACATATAGGTATATAATATACTTAAGAAAAAAAGTTAGATAAGATGCAAATCAGCAGAATCGTCCTCTGTAACACACTGTGCCTCAGTTCTCTCTTTTCTTCTACCTCTTCTTCTTCTTGGAAAGTAACCATTTTGTCCGACATCTGACACACTGCCCTGGGTTATTGAGCCAGACGTGGAAATCCAAAGCGGAGATGCTCTCCTTAATGCCTGACACCTGGTGCAGATTTGGAAGGGATTGCACTACAGGTACTGTCTTACCTCTTCACCAATCCCAGAAAGTCCCTTAGGTATTTCCTTTTCTTTCCACGGCTGTGTTTGTTTCTACTCTTCTTTGCCACCCAGGTATCAAGCCTCTGTTAGCTGGCCCCTGTGTTGGGATTAAGTTCAGAAGGTGTTGAAAAAGGATACCTATCATCCCTTTGATAAATATGATTCTGATTTGTTCAGGTATTTTTAAGGCCTCAAAAAATATAAGAAGGATTAAAAACCTTTCTAAGTATACGTTACATTTTCAGTGGGATAAAATGAAAGAAAGATTTCCTGTCCAGGAGCCAGAGCTTTTTTTTTCTACTTTAAAAATAAAGTAAATGATAGCAATTGAAGAAAGGGTGCAATGCTGTCACTGATAAGTTAAATCTGACAGTTCTTTCATTTGACAAAAAATGAGTTCAGTTTTCTGGAATGATTACTGAAACATGTCTGATGTTAATATTATTAAACTGCTAATTCCACTTCTGATCCTGTTATTTGTTCTTCTCTTGCCACACCCTCTGTCAGGGTATGCTTTACAAGTGGACGCTACTCTGGAGTGTTGCAGCTCACCTTACCGCTTGCAGTCACATCTGCAAACTGTGCTGGAGCAGAATGGCTAGCGAACATAAACACAGCAAGGACATCAAAGGCCGGCAGGTTGGGCTATACCACCTGAGCATGCTGATTGCAGTGCAGTTCAGTATCATCTGACTGGTGAAAACAGAGGATTTTGTTGCACCAAGTTGAGACATTTAACAGAAGGTTCCAACCAGAATTTTTTGTTTATTTGTTTAAAAAAATAAAAATAAATGAATAAATAAAAGCTCAAAACACAAGCCTTTTGGCCTATGAATGGCAAATTATAATTCAGTCCTGGATAACTCAGGCAACACAGATAAACTGTGAGCTGTACGCCACAATAATGTAACAGTCTTTCCTGGATAATAATATAATAAGCAAGATAAGCAAGTGCACACTTGGTGAGCTTCATACTGTTTATGTTGACACATGCAACTCTCTTCCTGATGCAAATGCAATCTAAACATTAAGCAAAGGGAAGGCAAGCGTAGCCCATAAAGGCTGTGAGCTCCAAACACTTTGAACAGACAACTATCACTAATCACTCCCAGAGCAGTGCGGCGTGTAATTACTCTGCCAAACGTTTGCCTTTCACAGCTTAGCACTAGGAGCCCTGACCCTGCGCTTCCCTGTCTTTCCTCACCACCGTGCATGTGGAAGGGGAGGACCCCCACCACCCCCCGCCTGCTCCTCTTTCCCCTTTCTCTTTAGCAAGGGGAAAGGCAAGCTGAGCTCCCTCTCAGTATTTAGAAAAAGACGGGGGGGAGAGAGGGGGAAAAAGAGAGGGAGAAAGACAGGAAGGGAGAAGACTGAGGTTGGTGCTTCCGGCTTTGTGGGAGCCCATTTAAACAGGCTTTGAAACCCTAGCCATCCGGAGATCAGAAATAGCCTTATTGACTGCATGGGCCCAGAAGTGACTGAGCACACAGGGTTCTTAAGAGTTCACTCTTCCTCGCTGCTTGGAACAGGGGGGTGGGCACCACATGCTGAGGTCCTCTACAAAGATTTTGGACATAAATTTTACATCAGGGGAAAATATTATTTTTACAGCTATTTTTAGTGTTGCATGGTTGTATCTCAATTTTTGTGCTGTTGTAGGATTTGTGTGTGTGTGTGGTTTATTTTAGTTATTTTTTATTTTATTGTTTGGAGTGACAGACATCTAATTCTACTTTTTCCCCACAGTCTTATTTATTGATATTAGTAATGCAGCTGTCATTCTGCAATGAGATCTGTCCTGTGTCTGGGTGAATGCTGATAAGATGACACAATGCAAATATGAAGTGTGATGGAGCCGCCTTGGCAAGCAGGTACAGAGTGTGCAGGGACCAGCATCCCATAATGACTATTAGCTGGATTTCACAGCCTGCTCCTGATCTCTTTCAGTGACAGGGGCCTTTATAAGAGGCTGGGTGTGTCACTGCCCCTCCTAATGGCTCTCATATACATGTGCACATGCACCGAAATGGCATATACACAAAGAGGAATATCATACTTTGTACAATAAGTGTAATTCTATTTGGCATCATTGTGAACTTAAAAAAAGACACTTTTTGTGTCACAAAAATGCTGATAGATTTTCTCCTTTTTTATTTATTTATTTATTTTTAGGTTTTATGAATAAATGAAATCAGATTGCTATATATTCTAAGCTGGCCCACTGGCACAATGAAACTGAACTTCATAGTAGAAATGATCCTTTCAGCATATTATCGATACATAATGTATTGTTATCTTAATTTCACCACTAGTCATCTTTACCATATTGTCATATTCTTCACCACTGCTGTAAAGGCTCATTTAGATTCGCAGAAGCTTAAAGAGCTCTCTCAGTTGCTGCTTGTATAAGCTTTTGAGAGAGTCCCGTTTTATCACTGATGTAGTAATTTCACTTCATCAGTCAGTTGTGACTAAAAATACATCAGGGATTAGCTTCATGGCCAGACTATCTTCCACTGCTTTGATAACATAATGGGGGCTAGTGCTTGTGGTTACAATCATCTGATATAGGTTCATAACATTCGAAACTACACTTACAATACTACGGGCTTTTTGAAAGAGAAGAATAGAGTGTGATCTTCTTAAACTCTCATGAAAATTGTGTGTTTTCCCTTTTAATTCCTTTGTAGGAGCATTTTGCAAAGATGAAAATTCCTCCCACCCCCACTCGTTCCCCTTTCCAGTTTCTATTCTACACAAATTAGCTATGGTCCTGGAGGGCAAAATGACAAGAGGTTACTGGAAGACTATGTGTTTAATTAATTGAAAAATGCTTAAATTGCTTTTACAGTTGTTATGTGGAGTGAAAAAAGGGAATCCATGTTGCCAGTACTCAACCATAATTAGCACCCGCGGGAATTAAATATTTAACATTAGCTGTGTTGCGGCACTTAGGACACAAATTTCTATTTTAACTATGAAAGCAAGCCTGTCTTAAGTGCATGAGTCTGTGTGGACAGCTGTGCAAAGGGGAACAGCACAGGATATTTCAGCGAGACACCCCAGTGGCATTTCGGGTCCTTCCACATCACATGTGTAAGAGATATGGCAGTTGTATTCCCAGGGGTTAGGCATTACTCAGAGTATTTAGTTTTCTAATTAGGCTGAGGGCCTTCGTCCATGCCTACCACCACCATGGGAGCCAATGAGAATTTCCTCTCTTATATGTCAACTCTGAGACACAGAAAGAGGGGAAAAAACGGGAATGAAAAGAAGGAGATAATCAGGACGCATGTGTGAAAATGAGAGAGATGTACACATGGTTGAAGGAGAAATAAAAGACCTGCAGAAAAGCCTTTGTTTATTCCAACTTTAATTACACATTGCATTTAATGACTCCACTGGTGTGTTTGAGGCTGGAGAGGGAGAAGCTGTGGAGCCTTAATGATCTGTAGTAGTGGATGTCAGCCGAGCCATTGGAGACTTAAAGCCCATTTTTAAAACTCCCTTTTTGTTTGGGCCTAGAGGCAACAGCGCAAATGGAGTTCATGCTAAGCCACACTAGGCTAGACTTAGGGACTACTTCACTGTCTGGTCAGCCAATTTCTCAAAGGGCCAGGCCATTTGGAGGCATCAGCAGCTGACCGCAGCAACTGTTAAGCTTGTCAGCGTGCATCAGGTTACCCACTAATGAGAAGTAATAAAGGTTATCCCAACTTTTTAAGTGTTTGATCTTTGTGCACAGTGGGATTTAAACATAACGCATGGAAGGTGAACCAAGATTGGAATTGGAATTTGACCCTTATGTTATGTGTGAATGAGGATTTAGAAATAGACACAAATAATTAAAAGCTCAAGCTCTGAAACTTGGATGAATAGTTTTGGAATGTAACATATTGTGCGCTTAACTGATATAGATATTGTGGATTATTATTTTTTGTGCAGGGATGCAGGATTACAGGATTACAACCAGGCTTGAAGATTGTCTAAAATCATAGTGGCCAACAATGGTTTCTGCCAGTATACAACAATCGGGCAGCACAAGCTGTATTTTTGAGAAATTGCATCTCGCTCTGGGGAAGCTGCATCTTTACTATAATGTACTAATGCTGGGTTGAATCACTGAATCATGTTCAATTAACACAACTGAATGTATGACCCTTTGAGATGCAGTGTTATTTGTTTTGACACACAGCTCTCAAAAAACGTACCCACCCCATCTTCAGTGCAGAACGTTAAAACCCCTTGTTCTGTAAAACAAATTCTCCGGATTATTCAAAGCTGTGAGAATTAAGATGGAAAAATCCATGCGTAAAATTACCGTCCATTCAACTTGAGGCAATATTTTCCTCTAGAGGCAAATATGTTAATTGAGCTTCCTAAAGTAGCTCAATCCTCAGGTTATTTAATTTCCCCAAAAGCCTTAGCGGTGCTGGGGTTGGTGGGGGGTGTAAAATTCTTTACACCAGCAATATTGTCATCAAGGGAAAAATAGCAGCAATGAGAAGAAATGGAAAAGAGCATACTGGTGGAGGTTGAACAACTGTTAGGTCATGAGGTGTATATATACACACATATACATAATAAAATGAATCATGAGATCATGCAAAAATTTCTTAGATGTTAATGTAAAAGCAAGCTGCTAAATCACTAGTTTTCTGCCAGAAAATACAGTTTTGAATAACTCTAAACTGAGCTTAACCTGCCAAAGAATCATCTTCATAACTGTCATGTCATCTAATTGCTTCTGTCTGTTTTCCCCAAAGGCTGCGTCCAGTTCTGTCACTGGTCCTTAGTGCTCCAGCAGCCTGGTCAAAAAGACATCCTGGCAGGGTCCCAGGGTGGATGCATCGCCCACGCACGCTGCTCTTGCCAGATCCCAGAAGTCTTTGTGGTGAACCACTGACCGTGCTGCTCCCTATTTTCTTCCAACCCAGCAAATAATGTGTCAGAAAAAGATTATTGATAGCCCATAAAAGAAGAGGCAGAATGTTGTTGCCACTCTGCTCCAACTTTAAGGAACAATACAAGTGCTAAACCATCAGTTTCAATGGTGCACTGCTCCTGAAAGAGCACAGCATTTATTTTTCACATTGTTGTTCAGTTTGAATAAAAGGTGCTACAACTGGAACATGAACAGACAACAATTACTTCTATTTTTTAAATGCTGCTCCATTTTCCTTTACATTTGAAACCTTGTAGTGAAGTTGGCAACTTTGTACTGTGTCTATTCAAAAGAAAAATGAGATCCCTCAAAAGAAACATTGAAATTTTCTCCATGCTCTGTTGAGTCATTCGCATTTTTTGCCAACTTTACCAGACACTGGCGAAGCTGTTGCTCATCTGGCCTAAATGTGGCCTGAGTGGGTGATTCTTAGACAGATGAGGGAAGGTATATTTACAGAATTAACGATGCACTCCATCGGCCACACAACAGCTGCCTGCTACACTTAGCTAATTGAGACTGCAGGCCCATTCCCATTTGCAGAGCACCGTGATTGAACAGTTGGGCAGCTTTATGTGTGTTTTTGCTCTCCTCGGGCTTGAAATCAACACTGACGCTCCCATGCAAAAACAAACACTTGTTCAAGCTGACTGTGTGTTGTGGCACCGCTTGTGAGAAATCTGCCTTTTTTGTTGTTCAGTGTTTCACTTTTAACGTTGTTCATCCGTCTTATCAACATGTTTGTTTTCAGGGAGGCAGCGAATGATGTGTTGGCGAGATAGAGCAAGGTTCATCTCAGCAGTAATGCTGTTAAATGAGAGAAGGAGCGGGTGTTTCAAGTCTGTGTGTGTATATACAACACTGTTTTGCTGTAAAATCTGTGTTTATGTTCACTGAAGGCATAATTCACAGTGTGTGTTAAAGGGCTCCGGGCCATGGAGGCACGCGACTGGCAGCTTTTTCTCCCCATTGTAAGAAAACAGAAAAAAAAGAATGAAAAAGAGTTTGGATAAATAACACTTTAATATGTTATGCATGCAAAAAACAGATCACATTTAGATTTGTGACATATCTGAAATTTCACGTCACGGCTAATTTTTCTTTTCAGGCTCTGCCTCGTGTAGGTTATATATTCTCAGTCAAATCCAGATGTCAGTAACTTATACAAACCCAGACATAAGCAGGGTATCACAACGTATAATAGGAATCATGGGCCTTTGATTTTTGGTTTTCCTATTGGAACACCTGTCACTTTTTGGCAAGGGCACACCACAGCACCAGGTCTTCTTTGGTAGCACTGGGAGGAGTGTGTGTGTGTGTGTGAGAATGAGTGAGTGTGAGAGAGCTGAAGATGAAACAGCCGCCGAGGAGGCAGTGATCACATAGACAGACGGGGTGAGTGACAGACAATACCTGCTGTAAAATTCCCTCACATCTCCCCTGATCTGTATTCATAGATCTCGGCTGCTATGCACTGCAAACTGTAGCCCACACCAGCGGGCCCTTTCCGCGCACCGCCCCGCTCAGTTTCACTGTTGCAACAGACCACTTTTTCTTTCCTTCCCCAAATATTTGCCATCTTTTGTTCTTTGTTTAAATGATGCTCTGATCACAAGGTGAAAGCTCAAAGGAACTCTATAACAAATATGGAATTTTTCCAGCTCTTTCAATCCATCGAATTCTGTAGGACTCTCCTTTAGAGTGTGTTTTTACACTTGAAAATATTTTATATGTGTGAGATTATTAGTATTATTTTTGGGGCAGGTGGGGGTGTATTATTTTAATTTTGAGTATAAAAGAAAACATTTAATGTATATTTTGCTCCTTCCACTCACATGCCCCCTGTTTTTGGTAATTCATTCACAAATTTTACATCTCGTTCACACTCAGTGAAAGTTCTTCAAAGGGACTTGCTCATGATCATTATCAGTGCCGTCAGAGGCCATGTTTTTGTGCCCCCCCCAACCACCACCACCACCGCAAACCTTGATGACTGACTCCAGGCCTAAAACTTCCTGAAACCTAAGTCATGTTTCAAGAGAAACACACACACTCCGAGGACACCACAACACAGAGGCTGCTCAAAGTGGATTAGGTTTGTTGTGGCAGATCTAGGTTTCAGGTTTGACTTGAGTAATGTGTCGTTTAATTTCTTCGGGAATTGTTTTGACAAAACAAGTTAGCGTAAAGTCGGAAATGTCGTCTAAAAAAGGGTGTGTGTGTAACGTGTAGGATTTTTTTGTTTTCCTTTTTTTTTTCTCTTCACACTCATGTGAAGCATATGTCAGTCATCAGCGGAGTGTTACAGTGGAAGTGACATCAGAACCCTGGAGGGCCTGCACTGCGAGAGAAGCTTTTTGATATGATTTCTGAGAACAGAGAGTTTAGTGAAAAGAAAGGAGTTTCTTGTGTCTCTGTTGTCGGATGGGGGAGTCTTTCTATACAAATAGTGGAAGTGAACTGGAAGGTGCTCTGCCATGCTTTTACTGAATCTTTATCATTTTAGCTGTCAGCAGAGGTAAAAGCCGTGATTTGTGTTGCCAAATTACACATTTAGCATGACAAGGGTAATTATTATGTTAGCACACACAGATGGAGAAATGTTTGTCAGCTGTGATTATAATTACAATCATTTTGTGATACTGAAGCTGAATAGTGCTGCGTTTGATTGACCTGCATGTTGAAACCAATTTACTGTGTTGCTTCGGATTTTGCCACTTTGATAAATAGTACCAGCTAGTGTACAGTCACTGAAAAAATGAGATAACTGGAACTCTGACGGTGCTATCTTCTCTCTGACCACAACTGGATAGTCAGGACAAAGCTGCAGATTGACTGGTGCCTGCTGATCTTTATCCTAGCCTGTCTCAGGCTTGGAGGTGATGATGCCCACAGCAGCCAGAGATTGATGGGGGCCAGCACAAGTGGCGAGAATGAGCTCTGGCCTTTGAAGTCGTCCACATGGAAGGAAATTGATATATCAGTTTAAGCCCTGGACCCTATTAAAGGAGCCCCCGTCAGGTTAATGTGATAGCCTCCATGTTACCCCCAGACCCATTCAGGTCAGACCTAATTCCTGCCCCTGCTCTCTGCAATCTCATTTTCAGTTCTCATCAGTAATGTTCTTCCCATCAGAGAAGCTCCACTAAGTAGTATATCACACAGTCAAACAGTGGGCCATCTATGTCCTGGAGTGATTTAAACCTCCAGCCAACATGTTAATCACCAGCCAGAAACTCCCATGGTTACTTGTACAGGTTAGATAGTCTTTAAAGTAGAGATACCAACCTTTCTAGACAGTACTCATGCATCCCATCTCTCCCTGAAGCTCCCCTCTTCTTGGCTTCTCTTCTTTCAAGTTTGTCCTTACTGAAATCTCACCCTCTTGTCCCCATGGTCAAACAGCTGAGCAAGAGCCCCAGGTCCACAGACATGAGCTCTGTGATCATTCATTTTTAATTGCATGCAGAAATACATTTGCATTAAAAATGTAGAACAGTGTCTTTTTAATTCCGACACAGTGTATTTATTATTAAACCATTGTCTTGGAGGTCAGCTCACAAGAAATTATCTGTCCATCAGATTCAGGTCATTGTAAGCATTCCGGATGGCCAGATCATCCCCAGGTTTCAAATATGTCTTTTATTCCCTTTGATTTCCTCCGTCTGTCATAAGTCGTCAGGGCGTTCTGAATACACAGCATCAAGGCGAAATGTCACCAGATTTAAACATGAATAAGATAAATGGCAGAAATCTATGTTTTAAAGAGACAAGTGACAGTGGTCAAAAGCTGCAGTCCATTAAAAATTCAGCTGGTGATAATTAATATGATCTTAGTTGGCAGTAAGTAGAGAACTTTGGCTCTCACTCCCTACAGTCCTGTGATTTGGTCCTCTTTGGCTGCGCTGTAACCACAACTCCACCGCCTGGCGCTGAATTCATTAGATGCGGGCAGAGTTCATTTAAAACCTGCAATAACGTTGCATATCTCAAGAATGTATTTTTTTTATTCTCATGAAACTTGAATGGGAATTAGTGCAGAGATAAAGCAAGATCAAAGGAAGAACATATTACATACTGTGTTTGTCCAAACGCCCTAATCCTTTTCTTTAAAATGTGAAGTATACTGAGTAGGATGGTCTCTGTGCTTTCAGAGCGCTTTTGTATTATTTTGTTATCAAACTTTTTGGAATTTTGCATTAAATTTGGATATAAAACTAACACGAGGGACCTTTTATATTATTATATAAATCGCATTTTGGGAAATTAATTCCAGTTTAAATACAACTCATATATTCTTTTACTTGCCAAAAACTCAAATAAATCACCTGACAACTGGCATGCAGTCAGCAAGCACTGATCATAGACACATTAACAGGAACACACAGTGTATAAAGAAATTCAGAACTTCTTTGAAAGTTAAATTACTGAGTTTTATAATCTTAGTTGATGCTAGTTGCAGGAGCAGTGTGAGGGGTGGTATCGGATTATTTCCTTAGGAACATTTGAGTTTAAAATGAACAAAGCTTTTGCTCATCAGGGTCACGGTGTGTCCTCATCTTAAAAATATAATTCATTTCCATAACACAGGTACTTTGTCCCATTATATCATTTGTTTCTTTGGGCCTTATTGATACCTTTGCAAAGCATCATGCGCTCCAAGCCTCTGTGTAAAAAGAAAGAAAAAAGAGAAAACTCTCAAACAAATTTGTTTATAACAGCATCTTTTTAGATCTGCGGGCCCATGCATATTTTGTCTCGTCTGAGTCAAGAGTGTTGAGATTAATCCCATGTTGTTCCTATTATTGGCCTCTCCTGAGACATCATGATGTGAATGACTGTCTAAGCGCCATCAGATCCATCAATTGGATTCAAAGAAATGTTATCCATTACTCTCTCCAACCCGGCAGATGTTGAGGTTTTTGTAAGGCGAATTCCTTTATTATGTTAATATGACTGTTTTGTCACATGCACCATTTCCATTTGAGTGGGGTGGAAAAATCATCAGATGGATTTGGCTCCCTCAATAAGAGATGTTTGACATTCAATGAGATGAGAAACATGAAAAACACATTTCAATGGCAAGTGGCAGATGACAATCACAACAAGATGGCCCTTTGAATAAGCAGAAGATCACAATATAATTGTGGCACCATGTTGTGATTTTAAGACACTGCCTTGTATAA